GCCTTAATTAAAAGATAACACAGAAAAGATGGCATTAGGGAATAACTGGATATGTGGAAGCACACTGATCTTATAAAGTCAGCTATGCTTCGTCAGGATTCACTACTCTTTTATCATTTGGAATGATAGTAAGAATATAATCTATGAGTACTTGAAATTGCCCCTGTGGAATAAAAAAAAGTGTCATCTCTATTTAAACTAGATCACAGACTGGCTGCAAACAGCTGCTGAAACATTAATTAATTTGTTTGCAAATAAATCATGGATATATACTAGCTGAAAATACTGATATAAACAAGCATGAATGTTGTGCTGCTTAGATTACCTATGGATCCCTGGTTTGCCTTCATTTTTTAAGATAACTTCATATGTACCAGCAAAACCAACACAGAGACCAAATAATCTGGAGGAGCTGAGCCTTTTTATTAAAGTTGTCCTATAGATATATCGATGTGCTGAAATGCAAATCAGTTCCAGTGCTTTAAAAAACACACATCCATTTTACATTTGTGTAGGACTGAACCTCATTTAAGAAAGATTTGTTAATCAAAGAGAATGAAATATTTTAGTGGAGGCATATGAATGTGGGTTTAACAAGTTTGCAGCTAAAAATATGGCTTGATGATTTCAGCTCTGCAATTTATGTTCCTCTATCTTGAATGTTCTTTTGGTAGCTGGGTGGCATCCTCTATAAATTCTGCATTACTCAGTACCTGCTTTTCATATACCATCAAGGATGCTATTTAATGTCTATGGATTGTCTAAAGATATGGGCTAAATGCTAGCCTTCTTGCTTCACTGACCTAGAGCCCAGGCAGATGTACCCAAATTTGCACTTGTAACAACACATGCACTTACTTAAGGCTAGCCTTGTAGTTGTTATGGTGCTTATTGTAAGGGCAAATCCTTGACTCTTTCCAGTGCTGCCCTAGGCTCTGCATATGGTAAGCAAAGAGGAGGAAGATGACATTGCAGGCTTTGCACTCTTGACATAAGCTTTATTTTCAAGAGTGGAAAAAATAAAGGTTAGATTCTGCCAAAGGATTAGACTTGCATATGTAATATGAACAGTACAGGGAGGCAGGCCTTTGGATACTAGTAACTAACCTTCAGGTGGCAGGCTGATGTGCTACAAAACAGACATGTTTGTGGAGGTGTGAGGACATGGCCAGGGAAGATTGTGTGGCCTAAATTCCATTTTCTCAGAGAATGTTGTTTGCATCACTGGGTTGCTGTGGCTGGCTGTCTTATGTACATAGCTGGTTTTCTGCTTTTTAAAAAAGGTTTTGTTTTGAATCTTTTCTAACATGACAGGTGTCCTTTTTAGTCTTTGGAAAATTAAGTGTTTGCTAACAAGAAAAATCACATTCTGACATGAGAAAATAAGGGTAAAACCCGGGGGAAAAACCAAAACTGTGGAGAAGCTAATGCTGTGACTTGATAGATGTGCATTTGATTTCCCTCCTCCTTCTAGTGTATATATTTTTTTTGTACACTAGCTGAACTGTCACATAGAAGATTCTATTCCAAGGCAGATACCACTATCCAGATGTTCTTGTCAGTGGAGGGATAGATTTCCCTAAGTTTGACTGATAATTGTTAGAGCAATATTGATCTTTGGCATCATGCCTTAAGATCTCATCTTCTGTAGATAGTGCAAGTTCTAGCATTACTTCCAAGAGCAGTCTTTGACTTCAGAGAAGGTATTCCTGCAAAGCACTCGGGACATACTGTTAAGCACCCAGATACCTGCTTCATGCTTCCTTTCAGCCTGATAGCAAAAGCTTCAAATCATTTAGTCTTTGTACTTAACTATGGTTTTGCCTTTTGCTTGGGCTCTCAAGCACTGGCTAGAGCATGAGTAGTTTCCGAACTCGAAGCCTGTTAGGGCTTTTTCAGAGGTTAATGTGACTGCCTAGTAAAGTATCACAGTCATGTTTGTTTACCACCCCTACCCCAAGGTTCACCCACCACATGCTCCAAATTAAGCTGTTCAGCTTCTTGTGGCACAGTATTTCCACTAGTCTGACTCTTCAGTGACAGTATCTGTCTCGAAGTCTGACTTTCTCATGTTTAAGGAAAGAAGGAGAAACTTCCACATTATTTCCACCAATAATACCAGTATAGCGCTCTTTTTGTGGAAGATCTGAACCTTTGGATTTTCTTGTGGAGTGAGGAAGTATTTGTCTGAATGTGCGGATAGTTAACAGCATTACCTGCAGGCCAGTTACCTGAGGGTAGCTGTGTGCTCTTACAAGTTCTACTTTTACATGGAGGGTGGTGATGGCTTCAGGAAGCCAATTTATGATCCCTGGACAAACTGGTCTGTAAGAACAGGCAGAGTGGAGAGAAAGGTTTTAATGATAGTGCTGTTAAGAGAGATTTTATTAATGCTTCTGTATTTCCAACTGGAAACTCCCATGAAAGTTGTAACTATCAAGGTTTCTGCTCAAATTAGGGAAGCACAGATTTTGAGAAAGGTCTTTTTGTTCCCATATTCTTTAAGAAAGCTGTATTTTCTTTTTTTTTTTTTTTTTTTAGGGTCTACTTTTGAACTTCTACTGTATATACAATCATTTTGGATAAAATTTAAGCCCACTTGTGCTCATAACAGAATAAAAAGCGGAAGGCAGTCAGGGATGAGCAGGGTTTTCAGCACCACTAACACTGAGAATTTTGACTAGCTTTTCTGACATTCATGTTTACTCCTGTCCTGTTATGGTGACTAGATTCAGATATAATGTCTCCTAACCTAAATATAACAAACTGTTGCAGGGGTGGAACTTCACCATGTGCTTGCCATTTGAATTCTTCAAGCTGTCAGCCCACTTATGGGATGGGCTCAAACTGTTCAGTTTATCATGTTAATCTTTCCACAGTCCTGAATAAGGCTCCAATGTATAGCTGTCAGGAAGGAGGCTGTTCCTACTGTCTTAGATTTTAGCATTTAATGTAAACAAGAAACATAAACAATCCACAATGTTTTTGGAAGAGGTGATACCAGGGTAATAACCAAGCAAAAATCCTACTTCCTGGAATGAGTGTATCTCCCTTGAGTTCTTCTGGTGCTGAATTTCCTAGTGCCAGTGGCACTGTTCAAGCTTCTTTCCACTTTTTGGTTCATGCTGAAGATACTTACCTGGACTTCTGTATCATGTTCTCTGCAAGGTCATAATTTAAGGTATAGCTTGGTGCATCTTGGGCTGAAATTGTGTTGTCTTCTCAGAATTGACCCTTCCGTAATGTCTCAGGGCTGATTTATTGTATTTTATTTGGATTTTTGGTTGTAGGTTTGTCTCCCCTCCTTCTTTTCCCCAGTGTTAAGGGCTGTACTTATGAATTGACTTAAGGAGACTTCAGGCAAAGTTGAAGCAAGAGTTGGGGATTCATCCTGGTAACTTTTCAGGTTACTCTGTGGTGCTAGTTACTTCAAGAGCTTAGTCACCTTTAAAATGCTTTATTTATTTATGTGCTTGTTTCCAACCAGTGTCCCCAGTTCCACTCTCTTTTCCTTCTAGGAGCACAGAGATCCATCCCCCTGGCAGCATGACCCACAAGCTGTCTGGAGGGTGTTACTTCGGGGTAGGTGACAAGGCGAGGACTCTTGAACATGCTGCCAGACCATGAGGAACTGTACTTAGGACCTTAATGCAGCCCTCCCTCTGGGTTTGGCTGCTCGCTGCAGCTAATTATAATTGTAAATTTGCCCTTAAAATCAAATTCTGTTTAAAGAGCAACTTTTGCCTTGGGGCAGCCTTGTAAGCGGAAAATACTTATCCAAAAAGCAGTTTACTTGGCTTATGATTTCCTGTAATCCCTATATTGTTCTCTGAGATACTTGTATGAGAGCAAAGAACTGCATTCCACAGCCTAGCCTCTCCGCTCCTCTTTCTGTGCCTGATTTTGTACAGAATTGATTACCTTTTGTTTTATGGTATCACAGCCAGTTCCCATAGAAATGGCTGGATGCTCCCAACCTTCATGATAGAAGCCACAACTTCCACAGAGCAGTGGTTGGGGCATGTCTCCTCAGGAATTTAGGCTTTTGGTTCTTTCAGCATAGGACAGTTTGGGTAGAATCACTTTGTGACTAGAGCTTATTCTGGGCTAAAACATAGAACTTATTTAATCTTGCGGCCACACAGTCCATCTTGGGATCAAGAAGCAAAGGACAGCATCATGCCTAACTGAAGTGTGCACTAATCACTTGACTGTCTGAAGTCCAGTTCACTATTTGAAATTGGGACAGGGTTATTTGTCCAGTGATGTAAAGTCCTGTGCTTTTTTGGGAGATCTAAATAAATCTGAATGCCTGAAGCTATTTGTGCAAAATAGGCCATGTAATAATTGAGTACAGCAGGTGCAACTGCTTGTCCTCCAGCAGGTCTGCAGTATGAGGTTTTGAGCTGCCTGGGTTCTTGATGGGGAATGAGCCATGCAGCTATTGGCGTTCATCAAGAGCAAGTAGAAGGAATAACTAAGCTTAGCTAACCTTCCTTATTATCCCATTTCTTCCTGATTTGTAAAGAATTGAGTTTCTGAACAGTTTTGGCTTGGTTTATATCTTTTGTTCTTAATATGTTAAGGATCAACTAGTGGTTTCAGGGTCTGTCAGAAAAATGAAAATACTAGTATTCAACCACAGAATTGGTTATGTAAGCTAAAATGAAACTCACTTTTATGTAAGTGTCAAAAGTGTACATAGACGGTACTTCAGTGCAAGATTTGGATGGTAGTAAACTGAGAATAAGTAAAGAAAAATATAATTAAAAAAATAAAAAGGCCCCAGAATGCCTTTATGTTCCAAAATGCCATAAGGTCAATTGCTTGGCACCATCTTCCCAAGTATGCTAAACAGTACTCTACAGGTTGCTTAACATCAGGGCCCAGACAGGAGGCAATGGCTGAAATAGCATGATGTGAAAAAGGGAGTAGCTCGAATGCTTCCATCCACGTGTTAGCAGTCAGGCAGCCTTGGACTGTCATTGCTTCAGAATCTGATGGTTGTGTTGGAGCTTACTTTGGTAAGAGTTCAGTAGGAATTGTTTGGATGTAAGTGATAGGACAGTGTTAAAACATCATTTTTAGTTTGGGTGGCAGAATTTTAAGAAAAGTCTATTAAGGTTTCAGTTTTCTTATTTATTTGTACAGTGAGTAATTGTCATTCCTGTCATGGGGGCCAAAACTTACAATAAGCTACTTAAGGAATAAACAAGACTCATGAGTTATAACACATACTTGGAATAATGCAGGGAAACAATGAGGGATATTACTGAAGCAAAACTAATTTCTGTTCTTGTGTAACATCCTGACCAGAACAGTGAAGGACATCACAAATCCATTCATTTATTTCAAAATTTGCAAAACAAATCCCTTCTTACACGTAGTATTTGTACAACATGAAATTATTATTCAATAAGTTGACATTTTAAACCTATTACTGCCTAAACCCATCTATTACTGAGCTATTCAGAGCACTAAGTTAACATTTACCAGAACATTCATCCTCACATCATGGAGAGATCAAGCTCAAATCCTTTATTTCATATTCAGATCTTGTTGGGTCAGGATTGAAAACTGCTACCTTTCTGATACTTTACTGAAAAGCCACTCTGAAATCCACAAAAGAATTATTATCAAGTTACTGCAGTTATTCAGCTAGATGTTGACTTTGATATGTCAACTCTCTGATCTTTAATAGAAAATTGATGGTCTTGCCCTGAGGGTCAGTCATATGCATGACCAGGATAGGCCAAGGTTTGCATTAAATTACACCCAGCCTTGCATTCTCATTCTCTGGCAGGCAAAGTCAAACAAAGCCAAATGGATCCCTTGTTAGTTTTGTTTTCTTCATTGTTTTGTGTTGGCATATGGATTTAATTCTGTAATGGGTGATTGCTGGGCACAATCTGCTTTATTGATTTTCTGGGGAAAGTTTTTGTAAGAGCACCCGGAAGTGTAATAACATAAAAGCAACTGGTGCAATTTTTGTTCTTGTTGCAGTATGTGTCTATTATAGCACTTATTCCACAATTGATTGTGTCACAAAAAATCAGGTTAGGCTTGTGTTTCCAGAACTTGCTTCCTCCAGCCACAGGCTGAAGTTGTCAATCCCACTGTGGCTCTTTTGGTTCCTATAAGTCTTGTACCTGTGGTGACTGCAATAAATCATGCAAACTTTGGCCCTTTTTCAGTGCTGTTGGTTGTCAGTTCATACAAAGTTGCATTTTTAACTTGTCTGAGGAAGGAACGCAGTATGGCAAAACTAGGACATCCATGGTCTGGGACTGTTTCGGATTCCAGCTTCTAAAGTGTTGGATGAAGCCACAGGGGGTTGGGTGAGCTACTGCTCCATGCATAATTTCTTTGATGGCTGCAGATGAATATGTTTTATGGCAGCAACTAAAGGAAATGAAAGAAAGGGAATATGCTTTCCATTTAAAAAAAAAACAAAAAACAACCAACAACTATTCTTCAGCTTCTGTTTCCTGCAACTGCTATTATGTAAACACCATATCAAATATGCCTACAGAGGCTTGGATGGCATAGCAGCATCTTCTGGTCTTATCTGTAGCTTCCTGCAAGGTACTTAGGTTTACTGTTCAAAATAATGACAGGTGAACATACCTACTTTCTTTTCTCAGAATGAAGCAAAATTTTCATACCAAATCATCATAGAAGATGATGGATAAGTTTGGACGTATGCCTCTCTGGATAATGGCATCAAAGAAAGTCCCATTTATTTTGGCCAATACAGTGCCCAATAAAGCAGGCTTTGTCTGGGCTGTCAAATGGGGCATCTGTGCATTAACTAGGGTGTCCCTTTCCTCATACAAAATCTAAAGAGTTATCACTTTTTATAGATCTTACCATTTTTAAGTAGGCTGATCACAGAAATACTTCATTTACAAAACTTGTCTGTTTGTGTTGATTTTGTGGCAGTGTTATTTTGTTGGCTAGCTTTTTCAAAGCCTTAGCTAGGAGCCAGACAACTTGCTGAAATGCAATAGGATCTAATGTTCAGAAAACCTAACTGATTTAGGAAGGCAAGTCTCATTGACTTTCAGTAGGACTTACATGCTTAAGTCTCTTAAATGCTTCTGCAAATGCCAACCTTGGATTTGAAAGCCAACCTTGGATTCCAAACATATGTGATAAAGCACTTTCACAGAAGCAGAATGTTCACAGTATACACTGTAGGACCAAGTTGTTTCACAACAGATGCATATAAGGCATTTAACTGTTAAAAAAAAAAAAGTGTCAGAGTTCAGATTCAAAGGAGAATGCACAGCCTATTGTGACTATTAATACAGCTCTTAATGCCAAGTTAAGAACATCAGTGAATATATAGGAATGATGTTAGGAATAGCCCTTGTTACTGCTTTGATGTGAATCTCCTTCATCAAACTCGGAATTAACTTTGCTGAAGTCAGTAGACTTTTGCACCCTTGTAAGTGGCTGCAGTCAGGCAACCCTCTAACTACACACACTATTATAGAGCAAAACATACAGATTATAAATAACATCACAGGGAGACTGGGTCTACTTTATCTCTGCAGTAATTCTTCTGATACGCTTTGAGTTACATCAGGATAAATTTGGCCCACTGAGATTAGTATAAAAAAGCAGATAGTGTTTCTTAGCTAGAAAGGTGCATATAAATCCCTGTATCTCTAACTTTGATCAGCTTAACACTCAGCTTTCTGTGTGAATCCTTTACCTTCTCTCTTATTTCAGAGCAGCTAATGCTGGCAAATGCCTTTTGGACCTACAAAATTACAGTGCTGTACAGTGGAGGTGCTGTGAAACTCCCAGAGCATAGAAGTGATGCTTGGATCAAACTGTGTTTCTCTTCCTCCTAGTGCATGAAATTGTGCAGATGTCTCCTTCAAACCTCTCTTTCATTTTAGAGCCTGATCCTGTGACCCACTGATTCATCTCCCTTTAAAGCTAATAAGAGTTGAAAGTGTTCATCACCATTCGTAGTGCAGGATTAGGCCCTTAATTATTCTTGGAAATAGTCATTCCCTTCTGGGTGATGAAATGGTGGTGTATCAGCCTTACCTGGTGATGGTAATATCTCCTTATGTTTGTCTTAAGACACCTAGCTATAGATGTCACTTTGTCAAGACAAGGAAAATTGCTGTGTTAGCTACCTCCCCAACATTGTATACATTATATAGCAACATATGGCACCAGCCTGGTTTTGGTTTGTCCCTTAGGAAAGAAAAGATTGTATCCACTCTTTAAAATAGCTCATCATTTAATACTTTTCTGTATAATTAGGAAATGATGTTCATCTGACAAAGTACATTCATTAAATAATTTCAAAATAAGCCAGAGGCATTGTTTAAACCTAGTGTCAACATAAACTGTAAAAAATGTGCAGAATAGTTAAATTTTAGCCAAAAGTATATGTTAATGGAGCAAGAACACTAAATGTTTTTTCTGCTTTTTAAGGCATCGAACTATCTTTTAGTGCAAGTTCTGCCTCACAGCCAGATCTGGCCCCTTCTTCACCCTAGCCCTTTCATCTCCCTTTGTTCCATGTCTATGCTGAGACTGAGATTTTCCCACCTCTCTCAGTCTTACTGTGGCTCTGAAAGATGATTGCCTTCCGGTGAAGCCCTTTCCCCTTCTTCTGTACCCAAGCTCCATGTTCAATGAACATCAAAAAGCCTTATCATACCCTGATGGTTTAAATCTTTAAACAGAGAGTAACAGCCTGAGTACATCCAGACCCCTCACATCCTATAGTCTTGTCACTATGTGTTCCTGCAACAATTACCAGGAGAGGGAGGCTGCGGAGTGAATCAAGTAGCGTGTGTTGTCTCCCTGGACTCCATGCTGATGCTCTGATCAGGACTTCAGCAAAATTCTGTTTGAAATGAGAATAGACTAATTTTCATCAGACTCTTCTCAGAGGAATCCCATGTGGGCTAGCATGCCAAGGGTCATCATTAGAAAACTGCCTTCAAAAGAGCTGAGGTTTCTTGTGGCAAAGCTTTCTCCCTTTACTAAATTTATAAACATTTATGTAAAAGTGTATACATTAATTGTCAGCTTCCTTGTATACGTGCAAAGTAATGCCCAAAAACATACTTGAAGAAATACACTTGTAAAAATAGCCCAAGTAAGGACAAAAATGTCCTCATTTTGACAGAAAATTCAGAATACTGTGATCAAAGGATGCTGTAACTCCCAGCTGTTCAAAGGGACTTATATTTAAAAAAAAAAAAAAAAAATCAGATGTGACCAAGAATAGAAAATAACTCATTAAGAGCTTAACTGGATGATGACAGGTGAAGCCATCAGTTGCTTAAACAGTGTAATGTTTTTCTAAGCAGTTTATTTTTCTTTTTTTTTTTCTCCCCCCCCCAGGGCAGTGACTATAAGCTTAAGAATTATTGCAAACATCCTTGTGCTCCTCTCACTTGCTGGAAGTATTTACATCATATACTTTGTTGTGGATCGATCCCAAAGGTTAGAGCGCGCCAAAAAGGAATTGACTCTTTGGGAAAAAAATGAGGTACACTGTCTTTATGCCACCTCTGTGTTAGAAGTAGGATTATTTTCTCGGGGCTTTCTGTAGCAATAGTGAATGTTCTGTGAATATTTCCATTCAGAGGAAGGAGTGGATACTGAGAGTAGGAAGTGAGTAAGGATGGAGAAGGTACTCATCCATTTAAGAGGAGGATGCTGGCTTCATATTTCCCATGTATTGTTTTTATTTTAATTAATAAAGTAGTAACTTTAAAGCTATAACATCCAAAGTAAAGACTCCTGAGTGGTATTCCAGATCTATAATTTTGCATCGTAACTACTGTTATTGTTAATGTCAATAATAACTTTTAAAATATCTCCTCCAAGAAAAGCCATCACCAAAGCATGTACATCAGCAGTATTTTAATCAGCACTCAAGGTACCACAGAAAATCTACATGAAAAGCTCCCAAAACGCTGTGTCTTTCTGTTCTGTAGGTAAGTGTAGTTGTGTCACTGATCACAATGATTGCACCCTCTGCTTTTGAACTTGTGGCGGCTCTGGAGATGTATCACCCAAGGACTACTCTTCGCTTCCAGCTTGCCAGGTATGGGCGTTATGCGGTGTAGAAAATCTGTGGGAAGAAAGGGAGAAAGAGATGTGTTCTGGTGACATGTTTTAATCCAGCCAAACCAGAGGATGTATGAGAAGGCAATGGGATAATGATGCACTCAATTCTTGTTTTCAGGGTTCTTGTTCTATACCTGGGAAACCTCTACAGTTTAATCATTGCTCTCCTGGATAAGGTGGACAGTATGAGT